TCACTAAATCTACTACTTGTTGGCATATAGAATAACTCTTTCCAAAATGAATATTCATTGTTGTAAGTAAGTAATCCAGGATATGGAATTGCTAATTTTACACCTGATTTTTTGGATTTATTATTTAATTTTTTATTTATAAATTTTATAAATGTTATAAATTTTTTAATATAATTATATTTATAATAAAAACCCCAAAAGCATTTTTCTTTATAAACTGACCCTTCAATATCTATAGCATTATAAAAAGTATCCATATTATCAAGTTTTACCACAAATGGAAATAATATCATTGAAGTCTGATTAAAGAATTTTGATATTAAAGTATAATGATTTTTTTCTAGTCTTGGTAATTCTAATATAATTATATTCAATAAACTAATATTTAAATCAGTATCTTTTATAAAATGACTAAGACAAGAATCAAATACTTCTTCTACTACAATACTACTATTATCATCTAATGCTATCTTTAACATGTCCTTTCCAAATTTGTTGAAACAATAAAAATCATTGATCATCTCTAACATTTCTTTAAAAGGTTGTCTGGAAAGTTGATGTTTATCAATATATGAAGTATTTATACAACCCAAGAAAACTTTGAAATCAAATAAATAACCTTCAACCATATTATTCTCAATAGCTGATTTAATAATATCCTTCATGTCAGATATATGTTTAACAAACTTTGTAAATATTTTGGAATTTTTATTGCTAACTGATAGAATGTATATCCAATAACTTGTTAATAAAATTAAACTATCATTATTTAATAATTTACAATACTCAAATATTTCATCACTTCTAAGACCATATTCGTCAATGGTTGATTTTTCTTCCATTCCATTATTGATTTTTTGTGCTTTTATATTAATATTTTTAAATTCACAATCATATTCTATTGACCATTTAATTAACTTTCCGGTTTCTATGGTAAATTCTGCTGGTCTTTCATATGACTTAAATGCTTCAACCATTTCTTGTAATGTTTGCATTATGTGTAAATAATGATTGTTCTTTAAATGCATTTGTCGTTGGATATTATCTAATTTTTCTTTGTTGATTATTTCTTTAATGTACAATTGATTGCCTATAGCTATGGCTATTTTATCATGTGGTAAAATTGCATATTCACATTCATTTTCATTTGTATTTTTTAAAAGATGTTCATTAAAATATCCTGTAATATCCATAAAATTGCCAAG